GCGCGCGGCCAGCGGCCGGTGGTCCCACCAGCTGCACGGGCTGCTGCTGCGCGACCGCGGCCTGGCGGCCAAGCGCGACTTCATGTCTGGCTTCACGGCCCTGCACTGGGCCGCCAAGAGCGGCGACCGCGAGATGGCCCTGCAGCTGGTGGAGGTGGCGCGGCGCGGGGGCGCGCCAGTGGACGTGAACGCGCGCTCGCACGGTGGCTACACGCCGCTGCACCTGGCTGCGCTGCACGGCCACGAGGACGCCGCGGTGCTGCTGGTGGTGCGCCTGGGCGCCCAGGTGCACGTCCGCGACCACAGCGGGCGGCGCGCCTACCAGTACCTGCGGCCGGGTTCCTCTTACGCGCTGCGCCGCCTGCTTGGCGACCCAGGCCTGCGAGGTGTCTCTGAGCCAGATGCGACCGGCGATGGGCCCGGTAGCCTTGCGGCCCGCCACCCGGTCCAGGTGGCCGCCACCATCCTCAGCTCCACCACCAGCGCGTTCCTGGGAGTCCTGGCTGACGACCTGCTGCTCCAGGACCTGGCCCGCGGCTTGAAGAAGTCCAGCTCCTTCAGCAAGCTCTTGGGGGCCTCACCCATGGCCCCGCGGAAAAAGGCGAAGATCCGAGGTGGCCTGCCAGCCTTCGCGGAGAGCGCTCGTCGACCTCCTCCTGGGCCCTTGGCTGGCCTAATGCCCAGTGTGCCGCCTGCAACCTGAAGGGCCTTGGGGTCATGGCCTCTGTGACCCAACAGGCCTGCCTTAGGTGGGCTCAGCCAGCGCTGCGCCCCCGTCCCAGCACCTGCCACTCTGGTGTCCTCCTTTCTCCCCCGCAGTCTGTTTGACCTCCAGGGCCTGCTCCTCCAGCTTTCTCTGGTGGGATTCTAGATCTCAGTGAGAGGCTTTATGGAGAAACCCAGTTTCAGGGCTGAAGATGGGGCTTGAAATTTAGGGTCAGAGATCAAGGGGCAGCAGCCCGTCTGGCTCCCAAATGCTTAACTGGATGCCTCTTCCCACTCCCACGCCAGAACTGGGGCAAGGGTCTCTGAAATGTTCCTCTACTGGGTTGTCACCTTCAAGACACGCGGTAGTTTTGTAATCTGATGCTTTTATTCTGTTTTTAAGTCGAAATGAGGTAAAGCCAATTTCATAATAAGCTTTTAAAATTCTATTTTTCCATTTTTAGGCAAAATGCTCATTTTCAACCTTTTGCTAAATATTTTCGAATCCTATTTAAAAAAATCAAGATCTAAAGAAAATGAATCCCAACAACAAAACTTTTAAAAGTTTATCTACCTCATTTTAGGCAGTCAAGATTCTGGAAAGTCTTGAACACAGAATAATCAGTGTGACCCTCGTGAATGTAACTTCACTTGTACTGTGAATGCTACTAGGAAACAAGTGCATCTTGGGAGTGAAAGTGATTTAACAGAGTAGACATATGTTGGCAAATATTTTTAAACTATGGTGAGATATACATGTATGGCACTAATAAGCGGCTATGTTGATATGGCATGAATATATAATTTTTAAAAATGAATATATAATATTTATTTGTGAATTGCACCTTTGCTTCATGTTTCTGAGTCCTTTTTACATTTGGCTGAGCCATTCAGTACAGTGGGCAAATATTCAAAAAGTCATAGCATCCACCAGAAAAACAAGTGATTAAATAGTAATTGATACAACTACAGAACTCTTTCACAGGAAAGTTTTGAAAAAAAAGTGCATGATAATACATTTTTTTAAAACATTTGAAAACAATTTATTCTTTTTAAAATTTTTTCCATAATTTTATTGAGAAACAAATAGCAATGAGACAGTTTCAAACCAAATTGGTAGGACAGTTTCAATAATTAACACATTGCATA